AGTTCTGGCTCTGGCTCTGGCTCTGGCTCTGGCTCTGGAACTTCGGCATCTTCGACCTCGTCCAGTACCGCATCCACACCAACTGTCAGTCAAACCTACGAAGGCGCTGCCTCAAAGTACTCCGTGTCATTCCTTGCTTTGGTCTCGGTGTTATCCTTGTTCATCTAATAAGCTAACATTCATTATATAAATTGGGCTAAAATTACATAGTAATTCATATCGGTTATAGGACATCGGCCGCGCTACTTAAGCCCCCATCACCTCACCCAATTTCACATAAACTCCGAAAGTCAATATTTATTCAATCCTAACTAGCTACTGTTGAGAAGCAATAATGGCAGCCCGGGCGGTAGACCCAGCAGATGCAGGGTTAACCCCCGTCACCACTCTACCGTCAGTAACAGTAAAATCATCAAATGGAGCACCTGGTAACTTGAAGTTAGCACCTGTCTTTTTGGCAACACCCTCCATGGTGTCAAGGTTGTACTTGACCAAAGGTTTGTCGGTATCAAACAACTTTTCTCCTTCATCAGTGAATCCCGTGACGTTCTTACCAGCAATAAGTGGCTTTCCGGTACTAGGATCCTTCATATTGGTGAAAATAGCTGGACCATGACAAACAGCTGCAACAACACCACCGTTGGCGTAAATGTCTTCCGCCACCTTCACCACATCGGTGGCAGTAGGAAAGTCGAAACTTGCTCCGTAGCCCCCAACGGCAAAGAAAATGTCGTAGTCTTTAGGATTTACATCCGAGGCCTTCTTGATTTTCTTAAGAGTGATATTATATTCGGAGTTGGGGTCTTCCAAAATGGCCTTGTCATCACCTTTGAGGAAGTCTTCGGTAAGAGAATGGTCGTCATAGCCGAAGGAACCGGTTCTTGAAGCAAAGTCAATGTCGTACCCTTTGGCTTTGAAAGCCTCGAATGGGTGGATGACTTCGACCGCGAAGGTACCGGTGGTGGTACCATCGTTGAAGAAAGGTCCGTGGTAAGATGGGAGGGCAATAAGTACAGATGGCATTTTTGTCGAAGCAATGAGGTTGGAGTTCGATGTTAGGATTTCAATTCATAGAAGCGGCGCACGTCATTTATACTGAATTGCTTCGGCCGTCTCTCTCAAACACCGAACAGGAACGCGCAGAACTTTTGCTTTTTACCCGGCTATATTACTAATTAAATACCACCTACGGCAGCAATGTAAGCAAGCGACCAAGTTCTAGACATTCCATTATCAATAAGCGCATCATTCCAGTCATCACCTGAAAACCATTTCCATGCCAGTTTGGGGTCACATAATGCAAGGTTGAGCATCAATATTCCTTTCCATCCGTCGGGGATGCGCTCGACGATCGGCTGCAAAATCTGCTGCCACTCTTCGCGAACAAATTTTTCTCCACGAATGTATGACGACATTGGGGTAATAGGCAACATATGAATACCATGGATCCATTCGTTGCCAATGGTTCCTCTGCCGAAGTACGTGGCAAAATCGATTTTGTTTTCAAACGAAATCCCCGCCACCTTATTGCCAATGAAGTTCGGTGGTTGGATTTGGTTGTCATCGGAGTAAAGCATGTACATGTTCATACTACGTCTCATGATGGAAAGAATCAAGTTTGCCCGGCTCTCCATCGCCGCATCGCCCGTGATCTTAGCAAATAACTTCATTCCGTAGTAGCAGTGATAGTCCTCCGATGAAGACTCTTCATCTTTGCCATCCCCGGAAGCAAAAATCCCATGGGCAAACGAATGGCCGTGAAACCAGTCAAAACTTCTGAACTGGGGAAAAAACGGGTCTTGGGTCGACGGATTGGCAACATCACGAATCAAAGTATCAGTGTAGTTCTTAACATTGGAACAGGAAAACCATTTGCCGCCGTTGAAGGATTTATCAACATATGCTACTAAGGCCACGGCATGGATGTGATATCCGTAGTGGAAGTGGTGGTCATTGTAGTTTGCATTTCCGAAGTCTGCCCCTGGATCAGCAGACGAAATCAACCCTTTCCAAGATGTATCGTAGAGCAACGGGAATTTCTGCTTATTGGATGAAAAGATTTCAATGGCCTTGGTAATCTGCGGGAAAAGCTTCTTAGTTAGTTTGTCGTCCTTTAACACAAAATGGCACACATAAAGAATATAGGCAAACTTGTCCAAGATCTTTCCAGACGTATACATGGAATCGATATCAGCCATTCCAATAACGTCCTGGTCCACTTCTTTTTCCGCTGCATTTCTTATGGCATCCAAAGCTGACTTTGAGTACTTGGCTTCTCCTTTGAAGCTCGACACTTCGGACCATGGTTCCCAGTTTATTTGAGTAGGTAAATTCGTTTCTTCCATAGCCAAGTCATTGGTCAAGTAAGCCCGCATAATACCCTTGGTGGTTGAATCAAGTCGCATGTTTGTATCGGTGTTTCTGGTGTCTTTGGTCAATGCTTCTTGGTGATGAGGTAAACACCAGATCACAAGCTTATTACTCTTGGAATTGCCCCCAATTCCATACTTGAAGTTATACTTGCAACTTCTACCATCCTTTGAACTCACCTTCCCAGAGAGCGTGCAACTGGTGGCATATGTCCCGGCGGATTCGTCATAGTGACTAGATTCACCCCGGCAAATTTGCACCACGAATTGTCCACACAGATTTCCCACGATTCTTCCGTCCTTCAAGCAAAACTCCGGCTTCTGCCCACTAACGTACATCGTCCAAACCACCTGGTTGAACAATTCGACCCGGTACTTGTCGACGCTTCCCACCGAGCCTTTTTTATCGAAATGATGAACTCCAACTTGAGAAGCAATTATTGGCTTGATGCCATTGTAAATTGCCGTCACAAAACCCATTCCGTAGGCCAAGGGGAACTGGATGCTTCCCGAGTCCGATCCTCGCTTCAAAACAGCGGTGACAGCCATTTTGGAGTGATTTTCCAAAGATAAGCGGATGTTTGTAGTATCAAACCCTTCACCACCCACCACAAATGACTTGATTCGCGGAGGATTGAAATAGTACTGAGCCGGCTGCGAGCCTGGGTCGGGACCAAACACCCGCTGAGACGCCTCGGTGTGGTTGAAGGCAAATCCAGCATCTTGGTCTGGATCTTTCGTCAACCAAAGGGAGTACGGTTGGGTCCACACCGGGAACGTCTGGTCCTCCAACGTCAAATTGTTATAGAAATTGTTTGTGTGGATGGGAGCATCACATTCCAGTTGTTTACAGCCTTGTGGAGGTTGTTGGTGTTTGGCTCTAGCAAAGATTTTGGCAGGTTCGGCGACTGCGATTGGGTTCGCAAAGAGGTCATCGGCACTGATGGAAGGACACAGGTTTTGCGGTGGGAGCGGGGCCTTGGGACGCGTGTACGGCTTGGAAGGCTCCTTGGAAGACACCTGCAACTTCTTCATGGCATTTTTGATATCTGAAAGTCCCATTGTACCTCAAAAGCAAATGAACAAAATGGTGCAGCTTATTTCAGGTACGCTAAGTGAGCATCTCCAAATGGGCCGGGCTGTGTACAGGAACACACCTCCATAAAAACATAGGTGATATTGACCACGTGATACAAAACCTGGGCAGAGACAGGGTCAGGAGTGGAGAATTGCAGCCACTGGTGATGCCGAGCGAGTTATGGTAACGGAAGAGAGGTGGTGAAAAATGCGATTACCCAATAGGGCAGGTAGTTCCGCGAGGGAAATCTCCACCAGGAAATACAGTTTGGAGTTTTTCCTATTTAAACCCCATCAAAGTCCACCCTTTTGGTGTTTTTCGTTTGTCCATTTGTTCTTCCTTCCCGGTGTCGAACTGTCCTGTCCCTGTCATCGTTTTTCACTGTTTCTGTCAAATTTGTCGATTCCGCGATAAGCCTTTGCTCGAATTCCGCAACCCAATATACCCAGCCGATTATCTCTTTTACTTCATGAAGTTTAGTGTTTTGTTCCAAATTGCCAGCGTTTTAGGGCTTATAAATGCCCAGGTCCACTTGCAGCTGGAAACCGGCGAACTTCACTTCGACTCGGTGGACTCACCGTCTTTGGAAGACCTCTGGGGAGGATACTGGCCGTTTCAAGGCATCAACACATTTGCCCATTTGGAGAGCCATAATTGTTTACTTGAGCCTGAACAGCACTACGACATCGCCGTGATTGGCGTTCCATTTGATACCGCCACGTCATACCGACCTGGTGCCAGGTTTGGTCCTCGTGCAATTAGAACCGCCTCGCAGAGGCAGACCTCGTTGAGAGGATTCAACCAAAGAGCCATGATGAACCCGTACCAGAACTGGGCCAAGATCGTGGACTGTGGAGACATCCCGGTAACACCCATGGACAACGAGTTGGCGTTCAAGCAAATGACCATGGCGTTTGAGGAGTTGATCTATAGAAGAGATGCCAATTCCACCCTAGCACCTCCAAGATACGTTGCTTTGGGTGGAGACCACTCGGTATTGCTCCCACACTTAAGGGCGTTACACAGTATCTACGGGCCTTTGAACGTGATTCATTTCGATGCTCATTTGGATACTTGGACTCCAGAAGGTTACCCATCTTACTGGCACTCTGACCAATCCGAGTTGAATCATGGTTCCATGTTATGGAAAGCTAACCAGGAAGGCTTAACTTCAACACATAACATTCACGCTGGCCTTAGAACCAAGCTCTCGGGGGTCGAAGATTATATCTCTGATGATGAACAGCATTTCGAAAGAATCTACGCAGACGATATTTGGGTTGAAGGTGTCAAGTACGTTATCGACAAAATCCTTGATACGGTTCCCAAGGACACACCTACTTATTTGTCTGTGGACATTGATGTGTTGGATCCAGGCTTTGGAAGTGGCACGGGGACTCAGGAGCCTGGTGGTTGGCTTCCTAGAGAGTTACTTTATGTTTTGAGAGCCATCGACGGCTTGAACATTGTAGGAGCGGATGTGGTGGAGGTGTCCCCAGCTTTTGATAACGCTGAGATCACTGCCACTAATGGTGCTCAAGTTGCTTATGAGATTATCACCAGTATGGTGAAGAAGGGTAAAACTGACGACTTGGTCAAGAACAATACTCCGCAAACTACTGCCAAAATGACCAACCACCAGTTTATCAATGGTAAGTTGGCAGACGCTGCAGGTAACCGGCAGAAATTTCTTGAAGTTTTCAATAATTGAAGTATATTTATAAGATGCAGAGGTGATACCTGTAAAAGCCTATAAAAGAAGAGGGAGACTATTTAACAGATGATAGAGTTGTAAGAGTTAGTACTAATATAAATAGAAGAAGAAACCATCAGCAAAAAGGGGATCAAGAGGTATGAAGAGATATAGTGAGGACATTGGCTTAGAACTGGAAGTTTTGAGTTTGATCTTGATCCTGAACGCCAAATCCAAAAGTTTCCCCATATGCCTGAGGAACCATATCATCATCAGTTTGATCATCTTCTTCGGAAAAGTACTTGACGATAATATGATAAGCCTTCTCGTAGATCTTCTCATTTTCATTGCTTTGGCATTCACTGATTTTATCCATTCCTCCAGCTTCTTCAATGTATAAAGCGTATTCGTTGACACTAGCACCACGAGCTTCTCTATCCATTTCACCCATCTTAAGAATATTCTCCAAGGAGTCCAAGGTGACCTCGATAATCTTGGCATCGCCAACGGCCAACAAGTCACACAATGGCTTAATACATCCTTGGCTCACAAGGTATCTGATTTGATCAGGCTTGGTCAAGGCACCAGAAGAGGCGTTGGAGATGGCCCAGCAGGCTTCTTTTTTGGTTTTGTAATCACCATTGACCAACAATCTTAAAACAGGTGGAATCAAATTAGCTTCAATAACTGCTTGTATTTGTTCAGTGTTTCCGGCAGTGATATTAGATATGGTCCAACAGGCTTCCTTTCTGATAGTTTCTTTGGGAGAGCTCAATAAAGGACCCAAAGCAGTCAAGGCTCCTGTGTTGATCACAACCTGCGTTTGCAAATCATTACCAGTGACAATATTACCAATGGATCTTAAGGCTGGGGTTTGGACCAAAGTAGATTCATGGCCCAACAATTCAACCAATCTATGGGGTATTCTAGCATCAATAACCGCTTGAATGGCTTCACTGGTTCCGTCCGACAAGTAGGAAACCGCCCAGCACGCATCAATCAAGGTCTCGGTGTCGATGGAGTAGATCAACTTGGCCAAGGTAGGAATAGCTTGGCTCACTATAGACCAATCAGGTTGAGGGTTTCTACCTCTACACAAGTTGGATAAGGTCCAGGTAGCAGTTCTGATCAAGGACATTTTGGTGCTGTTGAACAAGTCCAACACCGGAAGCATTGCACCACACTCCAAAACAAAGTCTCTGTAAGAGGTCGAATCACCTGCAACGTTACCCAAAGCCCAAATCGCTTGCTCTTTGACTTCAACCGACTGGGAACTCAATAACTCCACAAACAAAGGCACGGCACCGGCCTCAACAACCACCCTGGTTTGATCAGAGTTACCTGAGGCAATATTGGTCAAAGCCCAAGCAGCCTCCAATTGCAACATATCAGGATGAGAGGATTTCATGAAATCCACCAAAGTGGCAATAACCCCCGACTGGATAACGGCATTGATGGGAGGATTATGTTCTCTGGACAAGATTTGTCTGAATTTAACGGTAGCATTCAACTGATCATCAAAGTCGGGAGACTTGATTAATTCCACCATTCTAGGTAATTCTTGCAACAAGTTGCTATAGAACTTGGATTCATCTGTGTTTCCTTCCAAGCCATATTCATCTTCATCTTCGGAATCGTTGGTATCGGCGTTAGTGAAGTTTCTTCTCTTGGATAACACTTCTTCTCTTTTTTGCTTTCTCAAATCAACCTGATGAGTTTCTCTTCTTCTTCTTAATTCATCACTTTGAAAACGTCCCTTGTTCTTAAATGTGGTTCGACGATATTCCGGCACGAACCGGCTGGTGGCATCTCCGTCCATGATATATTTGTATTCAGAGGAAAAAAATATATGATTAAAGGATGGAGTTTTTTGCTGTAATACTGGAAAAAAATGTGATGGTGCACGATTAAGCGCGCCTACGAAATCCACCCTTTTCTTTCCAGTTCGAACGCCTATAAGCTGGTAATATGACTATGGCATATGTGATAGGTTTAAGGGATTTAGCCCGAAGCCAGAGGGCCAATACGGTTGCCATACATATAAAGACAATGCTATTGTCACTGGTTCGCCATTATGCCTCACACAAGGGTAGCTATAAGTCTCCAGACTCGTCCATAGAGACCGATGAGATCATCTCAGAAAACAACCCATGGTCTCCCACATTGCTTACTGATAGAGTCAAGGTCCGCAAGCCTGGATATGTGAGGCTGGTAGAATTGCCAGAGAATTTGCGGTTATCGTACCAACCATTATATGAAGCTCCTGGCTCCAAATACGTAGCGTTGTTAAAGAGACTCACCATAAGCGTGGGAGTTTTGGGATGTTACGGAGCCAAGTTGTTCTACGATTCGCCCCACTTTGATGACTACTATGCGGTATCGACTCTTGCCGCTTGTTCTGTACCGGCAATGGTGGTGCAATATAAGACTCGTGAATATGTCACAAGAATCTTTAGATTGTATGACAAAAACAAGCCTCAGACGCTAGAAAACTTGGTGAACGACGAGCAATTGATCGTGGAGAAGTTGAACTTCACTGGGGGTAAGACATTCAACCAGTTGGTTCGTGTTTCAGGGAACGATTCGCTAAAATTGGTACTGACTCCTAAGGTACCGCTTTTAGCATCGTATGCTGTGTGGCAAGACAAAGAGCCCGAGTCGGGTACTGTGAGAAAACACTATATTGTGGATGATATCGGTGGGATGAAGATGGACCGACTTTGGGGAATCGTGGAGAAGAACTCAGGAGAAGATAATGGAAGGTACATCGACTATAATAAGAGCCAGTGAATCCACCAGCTTTGAACGTCGGTATCCCACTTCACCTTTACCATTCCACCAAATTCCTGCTTTCATATGTATTCTCATATCTTGTAAATATTTCACTAAGAATCCGCGCGGCTCATCCGTAAAAAACTGAATGCCTCACAAGCTATTTCTTCCCAACACCACATTACTATGGGAATGTTTTCAGCTGCCAGAGGCTCAAATCTCTATTACTCAGGGAATAACCAGATGAGATCACACCCCGATCTCCAACGAAGACGCAGCCCCACCCGATCTCATGAAGCCGACTCTGAGATATCCTCGGGCCAAGAAATCAAACCTTCTCCTGAACAGGAATCTAAGGAGCCCAAATCCACTGAAGACGACGATACTACCGAAGAACTCGGAAAACCAAGGGAGAAGAAGGTGGTGAAGTCGCGCAACAGAGAGCGGTTTGATCCCACCACCTCCAAAAATACAAAACTCAATTCACTCATCTATCATACGACAGATGACTCGATCGATGTTTATACCAAAGAAAACGACTCGTCAGACTTGTTGGGGAGAATTTACTACGATGATTTCGACCTGGAATCTTCCACTCCCATAATATCTACCAACACCACGCCATTGATTTCACCCAGTGGTTCGGTTATAGGAAATGATTACTTTACCAGCAGACCATTCATCCCTTCTGCTCTTTCCACTGCACCAGGCTCCCGGTCGACATCCTTCACGAATCTTCGTGTTTTGCACTCAACCAGCTCCATAGACGAGAAGTCCCGGGAACACTATAAGTACGAACGGGGGATTTCGTTTGATACATCCACCAACATCGAGCGAATATCCTTAACCTTGAAGGCCAAGCACCCCAAGTTCAAATTTAGAAGGAATAACAAGACGTTTTTGGCTGGCTTCAACGGCGACAGCGAGTCGTTGAAGGCCATTGAATGGTTGTTTGACGAAATGATCATTCATGGCGATACAATTGTCATCTTGCAAGTTTTGGACGAAAAATTGCACCATGATATTGACCGGGCCCAGTGCAACCGGCAGCTTGAACTTATTGAAGATCTCAACGTCCACAACAAGAAGATCTCCATTGTGTTTGAAATCGTGATTGGCAAACCGCAAAAGCTCCTCAAAAAAGCCATTGACGAGTATACGCCGCAGATGATGACAATCGGCATGCACTCACCGGACAAGGAACTGAAGGGATTTTTTGCCAAAACCACCGTATCCAAGTACTTCTTGGAGTACGCGTTGGTGCCGGTGATTGTGGTAAAGCCCACATACGACTATATTAAAGAATTGACCAACCCCATAGATAATCAACAGTACTTTCAGAACTGGTTGAAGAATATCGATATCAGTGAAACGTTCATCAAGGACAAGAAAAAGAAGAAGATGAAGAGCCCATTGGGGTCTCGGTCCTCATCTCATGTGAGTTTGGTGGCCTTGAACGAAGAAAGAGGAAGATCCCGACAAGTGCCGTTAGACGGGACCGAAGACGCGAAACTGCTGTTTCTGATATCAGGATCCAGGTCCCCTTCTGCTACCCGATCACTCTCACCGACCGGTGACCGCTCCGACTCAAGGTCATCGCAGAAGCGGTCGACCCTCTCGAAGTTGTTTCACCATCGATAAGGAGAGTTAGGTATGTACGTGCGAATGAACATTTTTACTAGTCGGCAGCGCTTAGTCGCGCATCTCTCTATACTTGACAGGTTGCACTGAGATCGTCTCTATCACATGTTCAATTCAATTGGAATTCAATTGAATAAGTTAACCGGTGGAAATAGCTCACGTGAATTGCCCTTATACAAAGATAAGCCTTCGGGAGGACACACGTTTAAGCCCAAGCCCACCACCAAAAAGCTTCAAATGTTATTTAAAGGTTTTGTAGCCTCATTGGTGGTATACTTTGTATATGTGTTTTCCACCTCCCGATCGGCCTCCAAACCCTCCAAGGGAACCGATTGGAAACAGGCCCAGGCAGAAGTCCGTGATGCGTTCCTTGAATCGTGGCATACGTATGAAAAACATGCATGGGGAAAGGATGTTTTTCATCCTATTTCTCAACAGGGTGAAAATATGGGTCCCAATCCATTGGGTTGGATGATTGTTGATTCGTTGGATACTTTGATGATCATGGATTGTCCTGGTGAAGTTTTGAGGGCCAGGAACTGGATCAAGAGTGTTTTGGACTATAATATAGATTACGAAGTCAATGTGTTTGAAACCACCATCAGAATGATGGGAGGACTCTTATCAGCATTCCACTTATCTGAAGATGATTTGTACTTGGATAGGGCCGTGGACTTGGCCGGTGCGTTGCTTGAAGGGTTTAAGAGTCCTTCAGGGCTTCCATATTCTTCTGTCAATTTGAAAACTGGTAAAGCCATTAAGAACCATGTCGATAATGGTGCTTCTTCTACTGCTGAGGTGGCCACCTTACAATTGGAGTTCAAGTACTTGAGTCACTTGACCGGGGAAGCAGTATACTGGGAAAAAGTCGAAAAAATCATGGAGGTTTTGGATTCTAATGAACCTACAGATGGCTTGGTTCCAATCTACGTTAATCCAGACACTGGAAAATACCAAAGTCGGTTGATCAGGTTGGGCTCAAGAGGAGACTCCTACTATGAGTATTTGTTGAAGCAGTTCTTGCAAACCAATGAACAAGAACATGTGTACTACGATATGTACAAGGAATCTTTTGAAGGAATTACCCACAATATGGTTAGCTATTCCAAACCTAATCACTTGGTGTACATTGGAGAATTGGAAAATGGAATCAAAGGGAAGTTGAGTCCGAAAATGGACCACTTGGTTTGCTTCTACGGAGGTTTGGTAAGTTTGGGTGCCACTTCAGGGCTAACCTTGGAAGAGGCCAGAAAGCAGCCATGGTGGAACACCAAGAAGGAGTTGGAATTCAAGTTCGGAGCTGACTTGACCTATAGTTGTTACCGGATGTACGAGGATACTCCCACCGGATTGGCACCTGAAATCGTTGTTTTCAATGAGGACAAAACCAAGTCGCGTGACTTCTACATCAAACCTTTGGACAAACATAATTTGCAACGTCCAGAAACTGTCGAATCGTTATTCTACTTGTACAGATTGACAGGTGACGAAAAGTATAGACGGTATGGATACAAAATTTTCCAGAAGTTTGTGCAACACTCTAGATACGTTAGTGAAGAGGGAGATGTTTCGTACACATCGCTTGATGATATGACGGTGATTCCGCCAAAGAGAAGAGATAACGTGGAGTCGTTCTGGTGGGCCGAAACCTTGAAATATTTGTTCTTGTTATTCGATGACGAAAACAAGCTTCCTCTCGACAAGTATGTTTTTAACACAGAAGCCCATCCGTTCCCTCGTTTCGATATGGGTAAACTCTTCAAAACCGGGTGGAGACGGTCCAAAGGTTCCGAAGAAAGAGCCAATATAGAGACTCCAAATGTTGAAATCGACAAGAACAATATACCTGAGGCTGCTCCTGCCGACAAGCCTGTCGATCAACAGGTACAAGAAGAAGCTCAGAAAAACCCCGAAATCCTTGATCATTAGGTTATTATGTAGTTGCAAATAAATGAGTATCATCATAATCACCAAAATGTTACGTGCCCACACCAGTGCGCGCCTGGTCTCGGTTCGCAAGTTTTTGAGGTAACCAATCTTCCTCGATTACAAAGAACCACTGTATCATGTCGAGTGATGTATGTATATACCTTCCGGGGGCTGATCCCCGCGAGTTCTAAATTGATCACAACAATTCTTTCCCGGTTATCCCGGCTCTAAGGTGGCATTTATACTCCCAGTACATCCTGCTGGCCCATCAGCGCTGAAGGTGATTATTACGTCACTTTCGTGGGATGTCCATCACCCAAAATGATTCATCCGCTAAGATCTTGCAAACTGATCCATCATATCTTCAAAGTAAAAGCTTTGGTCCACAAATACCTTCCACAAACACTTGCCCCGAAGCCGGGGGAGCCCGAATTTTTGTGGGATTTTTTCCGTTGCTAAGCACATTACTAACACCCTTTTAAGTCTAAAACAACCTCGTTCGACCTCGAGCCGAATCCCTTTGAGCACTCTTTTGCCACCAACGATGGGGCCGGTGGTAATGGCTATGCTCCACCACCACCCGGCACCAACAGTGGTGCTAGCTCCGAAAAACAAACGTCTTCTACCAACAAACACAACCTACACATCCCCATTTCAAGCTTGAATGCCCAGCAGAAGTTACCAGGAATCACCCCGTCATTTCTCACACCCGGAGGCCGGCGCTTACCTCCGTTGGGGCTTTCTCCCGGGAGCCATATCTCGATTCCTGCGACTCCTGGGGGCACTTTATGGAACAGTCTCTTAAATGCCACCAACCACACGGCAGATACCAACAACGCCGAGGCCGGGGCCACCGCCACGAACTTGGCTCCAGGGGGCACGAACCAGTCTCTTCTTAACTCCAACAACACCGCCAATTTTTCTCAGTTTGTGAATAGCACTAGGAAGTCGGGTCTCACCCCCAACGAGTCCAATCTTCGAACGAGCCTCACTCCGGGGGCTCACGGGTTCCCGTTCAACGGACATCTTGTGGGGTTGACCCCAAGTGGACTTCTCAACAGTCCGATGACTCCAGGCCTTTCAAGTCTTCTTGGTCTTACAGCCTCGCAGTCCCAAAACTCGTTACATATAGCCAGCCAGTTGAATGGACAGATGGGGCACCTGGAGGCGTCTTCTCAACAGGCCCAGGCACAAATGCAAGCCGTTCAGGCTCAACTTCAA